AAAAAGTATTCATACCACTTGAAATTTTACACATTATGTCTTTTTACAACCAAAAATGTAAATATATTTTAGTGGGATTTTATGTGATAGACCAACACAAAGTGGCACATAATTGTGAAGTGGAAGGAAAAATGATAAATGGTTTTCAAATGTTTTCACAAATAAATATGTGAAAAGTGTGGCATGCATTTGTATTCAGCCCCCTGGAGTCAATACTTTGTAGAACCACCTTTCACTGCAATTACAGCTGCATGTCTTTTTGGGGATGTCTCTACCAGCTTTGCACATCTAGAGAGTGACATTTTTGCCCATTCTTCTTTGCAAAATAGTTCAAGCTCTGTCAGATCAGATGAAAAGCGTCTGTGAACAGCAATTTTCAAGTCTTGTCACAGATCCTCCATTGGATTTAGGTCTGAACTTTTACTGGGCCATTCTATCACATGAGTATGCTTTGATCTAAACCATTCCATTGTAGCTCTGGCTGTATGTTTAGGGTTGTTGTCCTGCTAGAAGGTGAACTCCACCCCAGTCTCAAGTCTTTTGCAGACTCTAACAGGTTTTCTTCTAAGATTGCCCTGTATTTGGCTCCATCCATCTTCCCATCAATTCTGACCAGCTTTCCTGTCCCTGCTGCAGAAAAGTATCCCCACAACATGATGCTGCCACCGCCATGTTTCACGGTGGGGGTGGTGTGTTTCAGGGTGATGTGCAGTGTTAGTTTTCCGCCACACATAGCGTTTTGCTTTTAGGCCAAAATGTTCAATTTTGGTCTAATCTGACCAGAGCACCTTCTTCCACATGTTTGTTGTGTCCCCCACATGGCTTCTCTGCAAACTGAAAATGGGTCTTCTTATGGCTTTCTCTCAACAATGGCTTTCTTCTTGCCACTCTGTCATAAAGGACAGATTTGTGGAGTACACATTTGTGGAGGGGAGGCTGCGGCTATAGGAACATGTTACATGTTCCACCCTAAAAACGGGTGGAACATGTAACATGTTCCCAAAGGTAAACTTATCCTTTAATTTGTGTCTTTTAAATCTGACTGGAGTTCAGCTTTAAGGACCTACCACATACAGTACATATGAATGAGTGTTTTAAGATGCTTTTTCATTTTGGAGCACCTGTGATTTGAGTTTAGTCACATTTTCATTGCACTTTGCACCCTGTGAGTTCAACCTCTACCTTCGCATTTTAGCTATCATGTGCAAATAGTAAGTCCAGGTCAAGTTTACCTAAAGGCTGTGGAACATTTCCCATGTTACAAAACTAGATTAGACATCATCTTGATCTTTGAAGCACACCTGCAAAATGCTTCATGTTAATGACGTATATTTGTGTTACATACAGGTAGATGAATCCTTGTGCGTGTGTGCTTGTATACACATATACATGATGTCAAGAAAATGCATGTCTACCCTGTTATAATGTTCCTTTGTGTTTATTACATGTAAATACTGACTGATGAGTTTAAAGTTAGATATAAAAAAAACTATACATTAACTGTGAGGTACAAATAAGATCTGGAATGTCCATATAAAACCAGACTGAGCACCAATTATTTTGGTGGGGATGATGAGGAGCTCACAACTCTAGCACTTTCCCCTTGGGTCCTGAATCTTGGATGTGGAAAGATTTTGGGTAGAACTCACCTGGGAATTAAAGTTCTTGCAATTTAACGAGACCCTGTCACAAATCATTCATCGAGAACAATCTATGCTTGTTAATTAACTGTGAACATCTCTCTTTTGTAAACAACCAAAAGATGGTGGAGGAGCTAGCCCAACACAAATCGTAACCAGACACTCCTAGAAATCAAAAGGGCTATGACATGGCAGGAGTCAAGGGGGCTGTGCTAGGGTATTTTGTCTCTTCCTGAAGAAGTCAAATTTGTTAGCACGCTAAGAAGCACTCCGCACGTGCATTAAGTTATTTGTGGAAAGGAAAAATGCTGCAAGTAAACATTTAACATATTTGGAATTTATGTGCTTTTGTCAGCATTAGTGATGTCCTTGATGGTTTGACTTGTACAAGGTAAGGGTGTTCGGCAGGCTGTTCACCAGCCGCGGCTCTGACAGTGCATTGTAACTGGCCAAAGCAATGCAACTGACCACATGACAATTGGGCAGAGCTAACGGTGACGTCACAGCTAGCTCTGCCCAATTGTTTCCATCTGATTGCAAATGTTAGATAGTGGCAAGTGCTCGGCGGATGCAGACGGGTCGGTGGGTGTCAGGTTTTTTTTTTCTATTTCGCCAAGTCGTCCTCATCGTGATAACACTGGGCGCCATGATTGATGATGGAATACAATGATGGAACCATTTTTTGGCTGTTTTTTAAAAACATGACTTTCCAAAAAAACTGTTGTGTTTTTATTCACATTTTATTTTTTTTTGGTAAATGGGTAGGGGTACCAAGTACCTCATACTAATTCACAAGGGGGGGCTGGGAATTGGGGGCAGCCCTGTTAAAGGGAGCTTCCAGATTCTGATAAGTCCCCCCCCCATAGACCCCCAAAACTACAAGAATTTACCACTTTTTCACATTTTTTGGGAGGTGGGGTTCCCCTTAAAAGTCATACTAAGCCTAAAGGGCCTGGTATGAACTCCACACATTTTTTTTTTTTTTACTGTGGTGTCGCTCCTAATCTTCCTAACAGACCTAAAGGGCCTGAGAAGGATTGGGGGGGGGGGGACCCCACGCTGTTTTTTTTTTTTTATGTAATTTTTAAAAAAAATGTCCATCCTGCTGCAGCAGGTTCTATACATTGTACATCTTGCAGTGTAAGGTGTAATTTGGATGTCTGGCATGATCAGACTATACTAGAGAATACTTCTATTACTTGTAAGGAAGGAAAAGAGGGACTGTCTCAGTAGAATCAAAAGTAAGAGGGATCACAGTGTCAGGAATGGACTTGCCAATAATGGTGGGACTCACCTGCCTTGTGGGCTGCAGTACCAGGACTGGCCAGCGGGTGCTCTCAGCAATCAGAGACTCAACGCTGCAGTTAGCCAAACACCTGAGGCTGATTGCAGGTGTATTTAAGGGATGGCCAGACCTGCAGTCTGTGCCTTGGTGTGTGTTTTTCCATGGGCCCCTGTATCTTGTTACCGGCATTCCTGTTCCTGTTTGTCAGGGCTCCGGGTATGACCAGAGGTATGTGAACTGACACAGAGAAACGCAAGCTTCAGATATGGTATAAAATAAGACGCTTTATTAAAGACTAACAATACAAACATAAACGCAGTGCACCAAACCCCAAGCTAACACAAATACATACAACAAGGTGAAACAAACCCAAACCTAAACTGATACAGATACACAGGTACATACACATATAGAGCACAACGTAATCAGGCAGGCCGGGTCGATAACTATCGGGAAGGTAGGTACAGGAGGAGCAGGCAGAGAATGGTCGGGGTCACAAGCCAGGGATCAAAACAGAAGTCAGCAGAGGTCAGGATCAAGCAGGGTTGACAACCAGTCAGTCAGGCAGGAACAGGAACAGGAACACAGGTTACAAGATACAGGGGCCCATGGAAAAACACACACCAAGGCCCAGACTGCAGGTCTGACCATCCCTTATATACACCTCCGTAATCAGCTTCAGGTGTTTGGCTGACTGCAGGGTTGAGTCTCTGATTGCTGAGAGCACCCGCTGGCCAGCCCTGGTACTGCAGCCCACAGGGCAGGTGAGTCCCATCATTACTGGCAAGTCCATTCCTGACACTGTTCCTGTCTGACTGATTTTTTGCCGACCCTGCCTGATACGGACCTCTGCTGACTTCTCCTGTTTGATCCCTGGCTTGTGACCCCGACCATTCTCTGCCTGACCCCCTGTACCTACCTGCCCGTTAGTTGCTGTACCCGGCTCGTGACCTGACTACTCTCTGCCTGCTCCTCCTGTTCCTACCTGCCCGATTGTTATTGACCCGGCCTGCCTGACTACGCTTGCATTGTATGTATTGTTATCTGTGGGTGGTTTGGTTTGCTTCGTTTGCACTGTGTTATGTTTTAGTATTGCACTGCATTTATGTATTGTTAGTATTAATAAAATTATATATGTTTATAACATATCTGAAGCCTGCGTTTCCCTGCGTCAGTTCACATACCTCTGGTCATACCCGGAGCCCTGACATTACATCAAGGCCAATCCTGACCAGAAGTGGCTGCACAGGGAAGCCATCTTGGTTGTTGCTGGGAAGGATGGATCTTGATGAGGTTGTGTATTTGTCGCTGCTGGTTTTTGATGACAGAGAATATGCTTTTCAGACTCTGAGGGAGTATACCCGGGATCAACTGCTAGAATGTATACAGATCGCTCATGTTCTAGTAGATCAGGGCACAGAGTTCTCTTAGGTGCACCTTTGATTCAGGTTTGTGTAGAGTTAGCTTCATCTGGTACCCCTGAAAGCAGGAATGACTTTTTGCCACCATTTAGTGCAGACCAGGTAGAGTCCCTGGTATGGTTATTAGAGGATGATGTGGATTGCTTCTTGGAGCATTATGCTGCATGTTCACCACAGGTATTAAGGGATTGTATAAACGCAGTGCAGTCTTTGACCAGACAGGCTTTGTGTAAGCTCAGCTTTGTTTCAACCCATACTGCAGACATGGTCAGACTTGTTGCACCCCAGCCTCAGTCAGCTTGCAACGTCATTCCTCTGCTCAAGGCACTCTTCCTGCATCCCCGACAGCACCCCCAGTGACGGCCCAGTATACTCTGCTAACTACCACATACCATTCCCCTGCTCCCACTTGCTGCACCTATCCTTTCTTTGGCCTTGTGGAGAGGTCCTCTGTGGCGGCTGCTCCCTCCTCTGTTCCATCTTCCAGCTCTTCTCTGTCCTCAGCTGCTCCATTCGTTTGCAGACCTGCGTTTACTTGCAGTGCTCCAGTAGTTAAAACCAGAAAAAAAAGCGAAAATTCTTTCCAACCAGTACCATCCTGCCAGTATCCAAACCGGTGAGCCTGCCGTCTGAGAACCTGCCTTCCGTGGTTGAGCCTGGTGCCTCAGCACCCGCAATTCAGCCTGATGTCTCTACCCAGCCTGATGTCTGTACCCAGCCTGATGAACTGATCCAGCCTGATGATCCTATCATGCCTGATGACCCAGTGCCCGCTGTCATACCTGGTGACCCGATGCCCGCTGTCGAGCCAGACGATCCAATGCCTGATGACCCAGTGCCCGCTGTCATGCCTGGTGACCCGATGCCCGCTGTCGAGCCAGGCGATCCAATGCCTGATGACCCAGTGCCCGCTGTCATGCCTGGTGACCCGATGCCCTGTCGAGCCAGACGATCCAGCGCCAGATGACCGGTGCCTGCTGTCGAGCCAGATGATCCGGTACCTGACGACCCGGTGCCCGCTGTTGTGCCAATTGACTCAGAGCCCACTGTCGTGCCTGGTGACTCGGTGCCCACTGCCTTGCCAGATGACGCGGTGCCCGCTGTCGAGCCAAATGACCTGATGCCTGGTGACCCGATGCCCGCTGTCGAGTCAGACGATCCAATGTCTGACCCAGTGCCCGCGGTCATGCCAGTTGACTCGGAGCCCACTGTCGTGCCTGGTGACTCGGTGCCCACTGCCTTGCCAGATGACGCGGTGCCCGCTGGCGAGCCAAATGACCTGATGCCTGGTTACCCAGTGCCCGCTGTCATACCTGGTGACCCGATGCCCGCTGTCGAGCCAGACGATCCAAATGCTAGACTTGTTCTGTGTTTATTAGCCTGATGACCCAGTGCCCGCTGTCATGCCTGGTGACCCGATGCCCGCTGTCGAGCCAGACGATCCAGTGCCAGATGACCCGGGTGCCTGCTGTCGAGCCAGACGATCCGTACCTGATGACCCGGTGCCCGCTGTCGTGCCAATTGACTCAGAGCCTACTGTCGTGCCTGGTGACTCGGTGCCCCACTGGCAAGCCAAATGACCTGATGCCTGGTGACCCGATGCCCGCCGCTCCGCCTGGGGACCCGGTGCCTGCCGCCCCTCCTGGGGGCCCGGTGCCCGCCGCCCCTCCTGGGGGCCCGGTGCCCGCCACTCTGCCTGGGGGCCCGGCGCCCGCCGCTCCACTTGGGGGCCCGGCGCCCCGCCTGGGGGCCCGGCGCCCGCCGCTCTGCCTGGGGGCCCGGTGCCCACTGCCCCGCCTGGGGGCCCTGTGCCTGCCGCTCCGCCTGGGGGCCCTGTGCCTGTCGCTTCGCCTGGGGGCCCTGTGCCTGTCGCTCCGCCTGGGGGCCCGATGCCTGTCGCTCCACCTGGGGGCCCGATGCATGTCGCTCCGCCTTGGGGCCCGGTGCCTGTCGCTCCACCTGGGGGCCCGGTGCCTGCCGCCCCGTCTGGGGGCCCTGTGCCTGCCGCTCCTCTTGGGGGCCCTGTGCCTCTGCCCGGAGTCCAGCCCGATGTGCCTCTGCCCGGAGTCCAGCCCGATGTGCCTCTGCCCGGAGTCCAGCCCGATGTGCCTCTGCCCGGAGTCCAGCCCGATGTGCCGCTGCCCGGAGTCCAGCCCCATGTGCCACTGCCCGGAGTCCAGCCCGATGTGCCTCTGCCCGGAGTCCAGCCCGATGTGCCACTGCCTGGAGTCCAGCCCGATGTGCCTCTGCCCGGAGTCCAGCCCGATGTGCCACTGCCTGGAGTCCAGCCCGATGTGCCTCTGCCCGGAGTCCAGCCCGATGTGCCAGTCTTTGATATCCCGCCAGTTACCAGACCCGGGCGGTGGAACATTTTGCCCAGCTAGGACTGTTTGGAGCTCCTTGAGGGGGGGGTACTGTCAGGAATAGACTTGCCAATAATGGTGGGACTCACCTGTCTTGTGGGCTGCAGTTCCAGGGCTGGCCAGCGGGTGCTCTCAGCAATCAGAGACTCAACCCTGCAGTCAGCCAAACGCCTGAGGCTGATTGCAGGTGTATTTAAGGGATGGCCAGACCTGCAGTCTGTGCCTTGGTGTGTGTTTTTCCATGGGCCCCTGTATCTTGTAACCTATGTTTTAGTATTGCACTGCGTTTATGTATTGTTAGTATTAATAAATTATATTGTTTATAACATATCTGAAGCCTGCGTTTCGCTGCGTCAGTTCACATACCTCTGGTCATACCCGGAGCCCTGACACACAGCAACTTCTAACCCTGTCTGACTTGAACTGGAATTTTACTGAATCAGAGCACCTGTCCAGAGACCCAGAGGAAGGTGCCCTCAGACTGGTAAAAGACTGACATCACACAAGTTAGGACTGTCTTCATATACTGTTAGTAGGTAAATGCAGTTCAGTTCTGTTAATTTCTGATAGTCAGAATACTGCAAATATTTAACTATTCACATATGTCATATAATAACTGTTCAATATGTCTGGTGCACTGGCGGTACACATTCGGTGCGGTTTGAAAAAGAGTATGTATGATTTCTGAACATTGCCTTCAGGTTCAGGTGCGGATTATAGGCTATTGACTTCTATGGGTAACGTTTCTAAACCGCATATACAGTCAGGTCCATAAATATTGGGACATGGACACAATTCTAACATTTTTGACTCTATACACCATCACAATGGATTTTAAATGAAACGAACAAGATGTGCTTTAACTGCAGACTGTCAGCTTTAATTTGAGGGTTTTTACATCCAAATCAGGTGAACGGTGTAGGAATTACAACAGTTTGCATATGTGCCTCCCACTTGTTAAGGGACCAAAAGTAATGGGACAATTGGCTTCTCAGCTGTTCCATGGCCAGGTGTGTGTTATTCCCTCATTATCCCAATTACAATGAGCAGATAAAAGGTCCAGAGTTCATTTCAAGTGTGCTATTTGCATTTGGAATCTGTTGCTGTCAACTCTCAAGATGAGATCCAAAGAGCTGTCACTATCAGTGAAGCCATCATTAGGCTGAAAAAACAAAACAAACCCATCAGAGAGAAAGAAAAAAACATTAGGCGTGGCCAAAACAACTGTTTGGAACATTCTTAAAAAGAAGGAACGCACCGGCGAGCTCAGCAAAACCAAAACACCCGGAAGACCACGGAAAACAACTGTGGTGGATGACCGAAGAATTCTTTCCTTGGTGAAGAAAACACCCTTCACAACAGTTGGCCAGATCAAGAACACCCTCCAGGAGGTAGGTGTATGTGTGTCAAAGTCAACAATCAAGAGAAGACTTCACCAGAGTGAATACAGAGGGTTCACCACAAGATGTAAACCATTGGTGAGCCTCAAAAACAGGAAGGCCAGATTAGAGTTTGCCAAACAACATCTAAAAAAAAGCCTTCACAGTTCTGGAACAACATCCTATGGACAGATGAGACCAAGATCAACTTGTACCAGAGTGATGGGAAGAGAAGAGTATGGAGAAGGAAAGGAACTGCTCATGATCCTAAGCATACCACCTCATCAGTGAAGCATGGTGGTGGTAGTGTCATGGCGTGGGCATGTATGGCTGCCAATGGAACTGCTTCTCTTGTATTTATTGATGATGTGACTGCTGACAAAAGCAGCAGGATGAATTTTGAAGTGTTTCGGACAATATTATCTGCTCATATTCAGCCAAATGCTTCACAACTCATTGGACGCTTCACAGTGCAGATGGACAATGGACCCAAAGCAGACTGCAAAAGCAACCAAAGAGTTTATTAAGGGAAAGAAGTGGAATGTTATGCAATGGCCAAGTCAATCACCTGACCTGAATCCGATTGAGCATGCATTTCACTTGCTGAAGACAAAACTGAAGGGAAAATGCCCCAAGAACAAGCAGGAACTGAAGACAGTTGCAGTAGAGGCCTGGCAGAGCATCACCAGGGATGAAACCCAGCGTCTGGTGATGTCTATGCGTTCCAGACTTCAGGCTGTAATTGACTGCAAAGGATTTGCAACCAAGTATTAAAAAGTGAAAGTTTGATTTATGATTATTATTCTGTCCCATTACTTTTGGTCCCTTAACAAGTGGGAAGCACATATGCAAACTGGTGTAATTCCTACACCGTTCACCTGATTTGGATGTAAATACCCTCAAATTAAAGCTGACAGTCTGCAGTTAAAGCACATCTTGTTCGTTTCATTTCAAATCCATTGTGGTGGTGAATAGAGCCAAAAAATGTTAGAATTGTGTCCATGTCCCAATATTTATGGACCTGACTGTATGTGGACAGGTTAATCCTGTCCTGAACCTGATGTAAACCTAACATGAACTGGTGAACAACCACTGTATCAATTAGCTGTGACACCTGAGCTTCAATCCACACCGCAAATGTGTAAATCAGCTCTTAAAACTAACATCCAAGGAGAAAGAAATAAGAAAACTGTGCAGTTAACACCAGTACCTTTAAAGTGAGGCTAAATATGTACTGCAGTACCAAGAGCGTAAACCATAGCTCTCTGACTGAGCGTTCACACTCCAAGTGACTTCAGATGGCTACCAATAAGATAGTTGGCTAGTTTACTTAGGATCGCTCAGACAGGAGAGTTTAGGCTTAGGCCTGAAAAGCTATCAAGTTTCCTGCACACCAGTGCTGTTACCAGAAAGACCCTTGGGTCTGAATAGTCCTTGGATGTAGCTTCTGCCAGCTTAGTTGGGACCCTTAACGTTGGCACGCAAAACAGGGCGATGTTGCTTTAATGTATGGAATCAATGGGGAAGTTCACTTTAAGATGTGGAGTAATGTGGAAGTTTTATAAAGATGGGTTGAACTTAGTCAATAGAAGTGCCCCTTTAAGTCACTTAAGCAAAGGAAAATGCTGTTGAAGCAAGGGGTCAGTTAAGCAGGAAGAGAAGTGTTAGTTCAGTTCAGCAGTCTGGGTTCAATGGCAACATACAGCAATAGGTGGCAGCAATGTATTTAGCTCTGATAAAAGACAGTATCAGGAAGTGACTTTACAGGTGAAGCTCGAAAAATTAGAATATCGTGCAAAAGTTCATTTATTTCAGTAATGCAACTTAAAAGGTGAAACTAATATATGAGATAGACTCATTACATGTAAAGCAAGATAGTTCAAGCCGTGATTTGTCATAATTGTGATGATTATGGCTTACAGCTCATGAAAACCCCAAATCCACAATCTCAGAAAATTAGAATATTACATGCAATCAATAAAACAAGGATTGTACATAGAACAATATCGGACCTCTGAAAAGTATAAGCATGCATATGTACTCAGTACTTGGTTTGGGCCCCTTTTGCAGCATTTACTGCCTCAATGCAGCGTGGCGTGGCATGGAAGCTATCAGCCTGTGGCACTGCTGAGGTGTTATGGAAGCCCAGGATGCTTCAATAGCGGCCTTCAGCTCTTCTGCATTGTTCGGTCTCATGTCTCTCATCTTTCTCTTGGCAATGCCCCATAGATTCTCTATGGGGTTCAGGTAAGGCAAGTTTGCTGGCCAATCAAGCACAGTAATCCCATGGTCATTGAACCAGGTTTTGGTGCTTTTGGCAGTGTGGGCAGGTGCCAAGTCCTGCTGGAAAATGAAGTCAGCATCCCCATAAAGCTCGTCTGTGGAAGGAAGCATGAAGTGC